TCTGACGCTGCTGTAAGAGGCTGATCCCTAACTAGGATTAATAAGAGTGGGATACAAATCATCCTTAATCTAGTTTAGGGCTTGTAGGAGCTTGTGGCAAAGCCCATGTTTTTGCTTAACCTCAAAGAGCAGTTTGAAATGAGCTGCTTCCTTTTACATACACCATGACTTCAAATTAAAGAAATGCGGTTCCCAGTTTGGGCGGGGTGGGATCAATAAACTGTAAATCTCCCCTTCAGCGTGGAGCAGGACTTGAGATCTGGGCTCAAGCAGGGGGGGAACTCCACGGCAGCACAAAAAGAGTCGTGTGTCAAGGCTGGGATCAAGACGAACGCTGAAGAATGGCTAGAAATGATGCGTTTTAAAAAAAAAAAAAAAAAAAAGTCTGTGTCAGACTTCTGGAGCCAATAATTTTGCTAATGAGTTGTGAAAGTCTGGCCCATTCTTGATTAAATGGAAGATGCCACCGAGCAGCTTTCTGGTTGTCCCAGCAGAGCTGAATAACCATTGTTCTGTAACAATGCAGGGCTCAGCGAGAGCAGAACAGTTTCCCGAGGGTTTCCCCCAGACAGGCGGCTTTGTTACTGGGGGAAGGAGGTCCCCGCTGCCTACCAGGACCTGGTCAGTGCCGCTGAAAATGCTGTGAAAATGTTTACCCTTCGCGTGATGGAGCCGCCTTCGGCATCACCAAACTGCAAAGGGTTTCCCTGGGCTAGGCAAATATTTCCTATCAGTTGTGTAGGTTGCTTAAAAAAAAAAAAAAGATGCTATCTAAATCAAATCAGAAAAAAGCAATGTGTTGTAAGTGCAATATCAAAACTGTCAGCTTTTTGACTAGAATATACAGGATGTTATCAGAGATATGGCCTTAAAGAATCCACAGCCTGAACTTAGCTGTGTTCATCCAATTTCTCTGGAATCAATTATAACGTGAATGGTCCCTAAATAGTCCCAAGGGCCTGGAAATTAAACTGGATGATGATGGAAGTGATTTCTGAAAGCACGTTGACAGTAGCTAAAGTGATAGAAAATTGTCAGTAGGGCAGTCTTGCTCGAAGCTGGAATTTATTTCCAGCTCCTACGCATGATGGCACAACCTGGAGATTCAAGCTGTGTTCTGCAGCCCTAATCCTCCTGACTTATCAAAACCTTTCCCATTGGTGAAACTCATCTTCAGCAAAAGGTCATGGAAAAGCCTTGACCATGAGGTTTCTTTATCTAAACCCAAATTAGATCAATCTCTTCCGATGCTGTCCTGAGTCAGTGTCTTATGTTAACCTTGCCGTGCCTGAAATCCTTCAGCAGCTGATCATTACAGCAGCCTGACCTTTCGGCAGTGCTCACGGTGTGTGGTGTCACAAGGAAAGGTTACTCACTGCCTTTCCCCTCCTGCCAAAGTCTAGGGAGCAAGAAGGGCGGTCTTTGTGTAACTGTCCACTTAGAGAAATTAGGCAAATGTTCCTTAATGCACGTGTAGTGAAACTGGATGCATGCACAATGGCACAGCATGGTCCTGCAGATGTTTGTGCGGTGCCATGCTTGCCCTTCCTCTCCGAGGGGTACCCAGCTATTCCTGATGAGATACAGAAACCCGAGTAGCCTTCCAGCAGGTACGTGGCAAAGGCTATGGAGAAGCAGGATATGCCTCAGCCTGGTCAGAGGCTGGAAACTCAGGTGTGAGGGGGGATGGCAGGCTAGGCTTGCTGAACATACTGGGATAAAAAGGAAGGTGCTCAGTCATGCCATGCTTCCTTCACCCCTTGACGCCAAAAGGGGAAGGGGTGCTGGTTCAGTAGTAAAGATCAACATCTGCTGTTTAATTTCCTGACAGTCTGATCCTTTCCACCGTGGTCTGTGGACCATCAAATCTGCACAGGTGTTCTTGGAAATCCTGCATTCAAATTGGGAGGGAAGTTAATCTTGATCCTGGGTAAAGGAGTGTGGTGTCTGGTCGTAAACTGTGTTGGCAGTCTTGGTCTTCAGTGAAAACCTGGAGGGGCTGCTAAAAGCTTCAAGGCAGCATCTTTCCATGGGGAGGAAAAACTGAGTGAAAACTCAGAAACTGAGTGTTCTTGGGAAAAATCAAGAACAGAGGGCTGTGCTTGGTGCTGCTGATGGAAGAAAAGAGGGAGAAAAGTGACCCCCAGGTCCCCCGACCACCCCAGTGGGGCAGTGTCTGAAGTCTGGTTTCACTTGTGAACTTACTGGAAAGGAAGCTCAAGGAAGCAGAATTTGGGAAGCCAAAGTCTTTTCCTGTTCTTTTGGCACCAACGTGCTCAGATCTCATTGCACTTCTGATACCGCTCGGGTGAGTCACTGGCCCTGGACACGAGAAGGAAAGCGTTCGGGAAGTACTTACCTGACCTAGTTTCCATGGGTGAGTGCATGAGCACAGTGCAAACAAGCAGGGACAAATCTAAAAATCCAAATCACTTCATGACGTGCAGCTAAACATAAGATTGCAGGACAGTTTCTTCTTAGGAATTACTCTAGAGATGTTTTAGAAGCCTAAAGATTTTATTTTTTTCTCCAGTAGAGAAGGCAAGTGACAACCAAAGAAGGCTGCTTAAAAAAAGGTTTAATTGTTTAGTGATCCACTGCATACTTTTGTGTTCAGAAAAGTCAAGCCTTTTAAACATCTAATGGGCTGGTTAACCACTTTGGAAACAAACTGTTCTATGGAAATGTGTAGAATGGATAAAGTATAAAGGAAGGAAGAGAAAAATGGATAAATCCAGTATCTTAAAACAACAACAACAAAAAAAAGGGTAAATACAGCCATATAGGTAATGAAGCTGACAGTGAGAAAGCCACCAGGGGTATGATCTGTCAGACAAAGCAACGGAGCGAACTCCTTCCTAGGATGAAAATAATCTTTCTCTAGGTGTAGACCCAATAGTGAGTGGTGTTCCTCAGGAGCTGGTATTGTTGGTATTGGGACCAGAGCTGTTTGACATCTTTGTTGGTGACATGGGCAGTGGGAGTGAGTGCACCCCCAGCACTTTTGCTGATGATACCAAGCTGTGTGGTGTGGTTGACACGCTGGAGGGAAGGGAGGCCAGCCTGGGGGACATGGACAGGCCTGGGAGGTGGGGCTGTGTGAGCCTCATGAGGGTCAACAGGGCCTAGTACAAGGCCCTGCATCTGGGCTGGCACAATCCCAATACAAACACAGGCTGGGTGGAGAATGCACTGAGAGCAGCCCTGAAGAGAAGGATCTGGAAGTGGTGGTTGATGAGAAGCTCAACATGAGCCAGCAATGTGTGCTTGCAGCCCACAAAGCCAACCATATCCTGGGCTGCATCAAAAGCAGCATGGCCAGCAGGGCGAGGGAGGTGAATGTCCCCCTCTGCTCTGCCCTTGAGAGACCCCACCTGGAGCCTGCGTTCAGCTCTGGGGCCCCCAGCATAAGAAGGACGAGGAAGTATTAGAGTGAGTCCGGAAGGCTGAGGGAGTTGGGGTTGTTCAGCCTGAAGAGAAGGCCCCAGGGAGACCTCACAGCGGCCTTCCAGTGCCTAAATGGGATTACAGGAAAGCTGGGGAGGGACTCTTTGTCAGGGGGTGGAGTGATAGGACAAGGAGGGATGGCTTTAAACTAAAAGAGGGTAGATTTAGATTAGATATTTGTAAGAAATGGTTTATTCTGAGGGCAGTGAGGCACTGGCACGGGTAGCCCAGAGAAGCTGTGGCTGCCCCATCCCTGGCAGTGCCCAAGGCCAGGCTGGATGGGGCTTTGGGCTGCCTGGGCTGGTGCGAGGTGTCCCTGCCCAGGGCAGGGGGTTGGAACTGTATGATCTTTAGATGGTCCCTTCAACCCAGAGTGTTCTGTGACTATATATATGATTATATTCCTTTCTAAATGACACTAGGTTAATGCAAGCTAGAGAGCTGCACTGAGCTTGGTGCAAAGCTGGCAAGAATGTATGTTCCTCTTTTTACATAATAAAATGAGATTTCGGTCCTGATAAAACCATGATCAGAAACAGTCTCCGCTTCTGTGATGCAATGCAGTATCTGCTAAACTTGCAGATTGGGCAGTGCTGGAAAGGAATAGTGAGGGCAATTTGAGGATGGGAGAGAAGTCAAAATCCTGGAAAATGGCAAATGTAGTTGGACAGGAAAAGATGAAATTTATAGGAAGCAATGACTCGTTGGGTAATGGCAGTCCTGCAGAAATAAACCCGCAGCTAGACACGAGCTGAGAGTCAAATATGTCTGCGGATGTGAACATTAAGTGGAGCCAGCAAGTAATCACTGCTTTATTTTAGTGTTGTCTTCTTTGGATATCCTGAACAGCTTTGAACATTGTGTGTTATGACAAACAGGTGCAGTAGAACAGGGATTTGGCCTCTTGTTTCAGCACTGAAATGGGGCTGCTGGTTATTGTACTCCTTGAAGCTTAAATGTAGGAGGCTGAGGGCTGTATTCTCCTACATGGAAGACTGGCTTCTGTCTCAGGAATTGATATGAGTGTTGACATTTATTAAAAGGGAATCTCATTCTACTTCGTTAGATGCTGTGGTTTCAGATATCTGAACACAGATGGGGCTGAAAAAGGCAGAGCAGACAAAGTTTTCTGTTCCTTCTTCCTTTCCCTGCCCTTAGAAGCAATGTGGTAATTCACAGCTTAACGGGTTGGTATATAGCAAAGAAGTGAGTGGTGAAAACTTGCAGCATCATGGTTATGTTGTGGATGGACTGAGCATCAGCTGCTACTAAGATGCAGCTCTCTGAATGGATTCCTTACTTTCCTCTTTCCAAAAGCAAGTACAGCCTGGAAGCACCACAGAGAAGGGAAACAGCAAGTCTGACCTTTCTGACATTAATCAGAACTTCTCCCTTTGGGAAGGGGGAACAGAGTGAAGAAAGATGAGACAATACACTCTGAGCATTGAAAGTGTGCGTAACCTTCATGAGCCCTTAGATGAAGCGCTGCACAAGCAGCATGATTAGTTTAAGTTATCTCATCAGTAACACACCTTTTCCTTTCCTCTTTAAAGCAAACTACAAATCTGAACCTTCCTCCTGAAGATCTCGATTCATCTGGTGACGACGATGATGGTTTCTCAGGTTCAGGTGCAGGTGAGTTATTAGCACTTGTACTGCCGGTGCTTGATCCTTCCAGAATGTGCCAGCTGAGATCTTGATGAGCATCCTGGCTAAAAGGAGGGGGGGAAAATGATCACACCCCTTTGCCCCAGAATATCAGAGTTGGGAACAGAGCAAGAGCCTAATCTATTCATCTTGAATTGCTTTAGATATTAACAATTAGCAGAAAATGAGTTGTAGGAGACTTGAAAGGGAGCAGAAGCAGGTATGTCATTGCTAATATGAGATACCACATAAAAATATTATGAAACCACAGCAATTCTTTACTTGTGGGGCACAGAGGCTGCAAGAAGGCTGTTCGGCCTCTCTCACAAGCTGGAAGGAGATACCATTTGAGGGTGTGTAAACCCCTACCTGCCAGCATACATCCAGCACAAATTTTATCTGTCATCAGATGTGCAAGTTCCCATGGGCCGTAAAATTTTTTTTTAAACATAATAAAGCGTTTTTAGGGTGGGGAAAAAGTCTGTCAGAATGATTACTAAATGCATGAGAAACAACTTTGTTGTTCAGTGTTGAATTGAAGTCAAGATGCTACTGCAGAAAGAGCAAAGCTGTTGGAAACTAAACCGTGCTTCTGCTTCCTTCCAACCACAGGCTTGATTTTTTTTTTTTTAAGATGAAATTCTGCATGAATAATACCACGAAATGTGTCAGTGACTAAAGGTGTTGTGTATATGGGTGACTACTCAGAGTTGCATAAAAGGTACTTATGGCATAAGAGCCAGCTAAGCACCCAGAGCAGCCAGCGTACTGGATAGCAGACATCCTCCTTGTAAGCCTGTCTGCAAACAGACTCCCATGTGCTATACAAGTGCTGTAAAGCAACTAACAAAGCGTTGTTGAATAGCACGTTGCTCTGTCCTTTCCTTGCTGCACTGAAAAAGATAAGGAATTGCAAAGAGAACTGCTATTAGGATGAAAAATGTCTGTGCAGGTTAGGCTTCCTCTCAGACTAGCGACCAGAAGGTAACTGCTAATAGGTCTCTGAGCTGGCCACGGTTAATGTTTTTTGTTCTGCAGGTCCCCTGGCTGACCCGTCTCTCACCTGGAGAATCCCAGCAGAGCCAACTAACTCCTCGCTGCCAGCAACACCAATGGATTTCAATGAGCAGCTGTTTCCCAGAACTGAGAGCCGAACTGAAAAGGAAGTAACAGCTCCCCCTGCAACGAGTAATGTGCTGACAGTGGAGCCAGCTGTAGCTGTGAAGGATGAAGTACCCATCCTGGGCTCACCCGATGAAAAACCAACAAACGATGTGGTTACAACAGAGAGAAGCCCCACTACTCACTTTCCTTCAGTGCTTCATGTAATTCCTTCAGAAGCCTCAGACACGGTCCACGAGCTTGAACCCAAAGCCCCTGGCTCTGACACGCCAGACACTATAAACATACTTCAGACTGACTCCACCATCCATCACGAGGTGGGAGGCATCACTGCTGCCCCCACGACAGCTCCAGAGGATGTAGCTCCTACACATGAGGAGGTTTCTGAAGATGGCTCCGGAGACCCGGTGAGGACTAGTAGCTTTGACACACTTTCCAGGGAGATGGCTCTAGTAACTTGGTAGTACCTTTGGTTTGCAGAAGGAGTGGTAATTTGTCAAAACCAACAATCAATTTAATACCTTATATTGATGGAGGGCTTTAGATGAGGGAAAAAAAAAAAAAAAAGCTGTGTAAAGTCTCCAGTAACAGCCATGATGAGAAACATGAATAACCTGCCTTGTGTGTCCCAACAGGGAGACTTCATCTTGATTAAAGACGAGGATTTGGTCCCCACCCAGAACTCTGAAGTGCCGGCTGACTCTGGGAGGAATGCCAAAGCAGCAGGAGCCTCGGGAATTATGGACAGGAAAGAAGTTCTTGGAGGTACCTGATATTCTGGATTTCTAGTTGGTAGAAGTAGACTCCTGTAGGAGTCTCCCAGGCAGCAGAGGCTGCAGTTCTGCAAGTACATCTCAGAGCATGAAAGTGAACCTTTTACATTAGAGCTTTCTCAAATGAGGGTGGTGATCCATGGTTTTGTGTTGCTGAAACCTTAATGGGGCAAATTTTATTCTGATAATAACAAAAAGGCACCGCTAGTTATCTGAAAATTTAGGTTAAAATCTATTCCTTCACTCAAAAATTAGCGTAAAACTGCTCTCATGCTGCCTGGGTCAGGAGTTGAACAGCACTGCCTTGCTCCATTCATGGGGCTTTGCAGCACAGCCCAGTGGGAGAGCTATTTCCATAGATTTACGTGCAGGATGAGTAGGACTCTTGGTAATGGAAGGATGACTGGTTTTGGGGGGGCAAAAGGACAAAGTCATTTCTGGAAATCATGAATTGAGGGATCACGCTTTAAGGAACAACCTGGAAGCATAGGATCAGACTGACGTTAACTGGCATGGCGCTGAGAGTAATTTGTGTTTTCTCCCCCTTCCAGGTGTTATTGCTGGAGGACTGGTAGGCTTGGTGTTTGCAGTGTTTCTAGTTGCATTTATGCTGTACAGAATGAAGAAAAAAGACGAAGGAAGCTATTCACTGGATGAACCAAAACAGTCTAACGGAGGATACCAAAAACCACACAAACAAGAAGAATTCTATGCATAAACTCTGATCTTCAGGACACTTCTTATTCCATCTTTCTTGGACTCTTCTCTCCCTGCACATGGACCTCCTAGTGCGCTTTGCATTAAACTTAAGCCATATGATCATTGGGTTATTTGCCCTTACCACCTAGCCATTGGAAATTTTTGTAACTACAAAGTAGATCTGGATTCACTGAACATTCCCTGCTTTCTTGCACAACTTTTTTGTTTGTTTGTTTTTTTAACAGAAGTGGGACTGCAAGTTCCTAAACTCGCTTTGGTTTATCTAAAGACTGCTGGGGCAGGCGGTGGGGAGAAGATAAGGGAGCACTGTATGTACAAACCTCTTGATATTTAGGGAAAGGGATGGCAAGAATAAACGATTAACAGTGCTCAAATTCTGTATAGCAGGGATTCTTCCTATTTAACTCATAGATGTGTTTTAAGTGTAACAAATGGCTGCGCTGGGCAGAAGTTTGGTACACTGCAATACTCGATCTCTTTCTAGCTGCCGTGTTTGGAGCACTTAATGCCTGTGAAACATCATGCTGACCATGACTTCTAGTGAAAGGAGGTGCGAGGGGCAGGGTAAGCAAATGACTGTCACATAGTTTAAAATAACTTATACTTTGGAAAAGATCACACAACATTATCCCCTACTCTGAACCAGCTCCTAAGCAGCTGGTGAACATAGTAATACAGAACCCCCAAAACTAAGTAGAAACTTCATGTTACCAGTAGCACTGGTCTATCCCACTACCTGTGCTCTTGATCCTTCTAGGCTTAGGCAAGAAGTGGATTTTTCTAAGCATTCTCATCTCAGATATTCCCTCTTAGGTGCTGAATCTAGGGTTGGCTGTCGAGCTGTAAATACTCCGACCCCGTGCTGCTGTGGAGTCACCAGGTGGCTGATAGCACATCGTAGCACCTAGCTCTCTGTGCCCTGTTCACGGTGGTTGTCTCAGAACGTGGTCAGTGCTACGACCTCGGCACACAGGGGTGGAAGGTAGAAAGCATCATATCACACCTTCGCAGCTAAGGAGTAGAGAAACACAGCACCCGACCCAAGTCTGAGGAAGGCTAAGTGCAGATGGCCTTAAATACATACAAGAGTTGATGTGCTTGACTCTCGCGATTCCGGAACGCCTCTCTTCAGAAGCTGTTCCTGCACCTTGGAGAGAAGCAACTCTAGGGATGTCAGACTAGCAAGGGCTGAGAAGCACCTCCTGAGGAAAGTCTGGATGCCTGAAGCTGTTGGTGGTCAATGTGTTGCCAGATACAAGGCACCGAAACCTCACAGGGTTTGGAGTTCTCCAGGGTACGTCAAAACCAAGTGAGAAGAGAAGTGTGGTGTTCTGCACAAGCCTTACTTCTGCTCTGCCTTCAGCTAGCTTCTTGCAAGTTCAGTTCCTCATCACTCAGCGCAGAAGGCATGGGGGGTGGAGGAGTGTTTACGACTGATGTAAATATTTGTGCTGTTGAGCCAGAGGGAATGATTGGAGAATACTGGAGAATATTGCAACAGTTGGTACAAATGCTGCAGGTTAACAGTAAAACTTAAAAACCTGTGTAATTTAAATGAAGTATAAAACACTCCTGAGCTGCTACGCAGCTAAAATTGGTGCCTTCTCTACAAACCCAAGAAAAAAACAATTTTTGATCCAAAACTCTTCTTAATGCACAAGAAAAGCTTGTGCGTATATGTAGCTGGCTGTTTATAAGTAAAGCTGCAAAGTCCATTATGTCTTTTTTTTTTTTTTTTACTGAATGAATTTTTATAGGTTAATGCAACAACCGGATGGTGTTAATTTCAGCTGTAATTCTTTGCTTTGTATAGGAATGTAGAAATGTTGTTTGATAGGTTTATCTATGAAAAGAGTCTTGTAAAGCACAGGAAGATAAAGTGGTAAACTTCAGTTGTACCTCACAACCTTGCTAGGGGGAAAGGAAAAACTGTATATTTTGGTAGTCTAAACTGACAGTTTGTGAAACAAACATGACATTCTGTGTTATTTAAGTGGTACAAATGAGATATGAGTTCTAACAAAAGATGCAACACTCGGTTATCTGTATGCCCTGTAAAGGTATACTGCAATAAATGGCATTTTGGCAAGAATGCGCCTGATGTGTGCGTGTTGCTCTACATCATAACTCCACAAAGTAAATGAGGTTTGTACAGCTTCCCGGGTCTTCAAGGAATTTGGATTCTTTGTATGAAATGTGAAGCTTGGTGCTAAATCTAAGGAGGCTCTGTGCAGAACGGGGAAGGTGTGAGACATTTCCTGCTCACCCTGCATGGGGTGGCTAGCTGTGGGGAGCAGAGGCTTGCCTAAAAGCTGTTCTTCAGAGCCCTGTAGCACTTCAGTGCTGGCCTGGGGAGCTCTCCTTGCTTGTGCAGGCTGCCACCATCCCCAAAAGGGTGAATAGGTTGGAAGTCTTCCATGGGGATCGCTCTTACAACCTGGCTTCTTGCCTCCAGGAGGGCTTCAGGATGGGCAGCACCAACTCTTTCTATTAAAACACACTTCCCAGGAGGAATTTGGAGACTGTACCTCCATGGAGGGAGAACAGAGCAGGCCTGTCCTAAATATTCTGCTATGCGGCATCAATTACTTCTGGGTGCTGCAGCTTGTGTTGGAGGAGATGGAGCAAAACAGAAGTAGAGCAAAAATGTCCTTCACAAAATAGGGAAGTCAAAAATGCTGCCTGTCTGGGTGGGCCACATTGCAGCCTACACAACAATTCTAATTTATATGGCTTTGAGCTGTAAGAAACTTACTTTTTAGGTGGTGTTTGTAAACCAGCCACAGTATTTTCAGTTTGAATATCTCCCCTGCCTTGCACTGGAACCAAGTGGGTCGTGAATTAAGTTTCCATAGTAAACCAAAGCTGTAATGTGTTTTCTAGCTGTATCCCAACTTCATCAGCCCCTTAAACCAGGTAAAATTGTGAAAGAGCAGAAATAACTATTGCACAGCAATGTTACCAGGATCATTCCCTTCCCTGGGGATTCCCAAGACCTCTCTTTCCACTTTCCTAGTCAGCGATCATGTGGGAAGTTAGTGCGTCAGGGAGGGGAAAAAACAAAGTGGTGAGGAAAGTGGGAAATTTCTGTGCCTAAGCCCTTACAAATGAAGCCTTTTGATCCTCAGAGTGCACTTGAAGGAAACTTTGTTGTACCACTAGAGAATAATCTACAGAAGAGAGACTCAGCCTCTGTGTTCTGGCACGGGGCAGCCTGGGTTTTCCTGAGTCATGTTTCTATTCACTGTGCTTCCCAACTTCCTTCTTCATCCATGCTGGAGCAATTATCACATTTGCTCTTGTTCACAAGTGAGATGCAAAGAATGTGGCTGGCAGAAAACCTGACCCCTTCTTTGTTCTGGAAAAATGAGCTGGAGGGTGTAAATGCATCGGATGTCAAGGAAGGCAAACGATGAGAGCCAGGAGGACTTCTCACAATTCTCACTTTGTCAAGTCGCATTAGGCCCTCTAAAGGAAACTAAAGCAAATCTAAGAGGCTGTAATTGAAATAGAGAAGAGGGAGGGGGAAAAGAGGGCAGCTCTGTGGGGGTACTGAGAAGAAAAGCTGTTTCAGATGTGGTCTGCCGTCTACAGAAATGCCTTATCTGAGACCCCATCATGACTGGGATGTAAAGTATATTGCTGGCAACGAGTAGAATAAAGGTCCAGAGTAAAATTTGCTCCATTTGAGGTAGCATAAAACAAACACAAACCTTTAAATAAGCAGGAGATGAGAGAAGAGATGCTCAAAACCAAATAGTTTACTTGGCGTTCTGGGGCGGTGTTTAGCTTACGGGACTGGAAGCCAGACGGGCGGCATTTTTAATGCGCTTGTCAAAGCAAAGGACAGCACTTTTACTGCAGACCATGAAGTGCAGTGGCTGCGCTAAGGAAAAAGGAAAGAAAAGGTCTGGCCTCAGCAGTGTGCAGGATCTTACAAAAGGGCTTGGCTGACAGAGACAGGGCACTGGCACATGGGATGAAATATAAACCAGACTCACCAAAAGTAGATGGGGACAGACTAATCAGCTCTCCTGCTATCTGATAACATTTTTCCTAGTCAGAGGCAATCTAATCTAGCGGGACTTCAGGAACACAATTTATCAGTGCCAGGCAGAAAATGAATTGTTGAAAGAAGGAAGCCCGGGATTAATGGCAGAACGGTAAGGTGGTGAGGAACGGGCTACGGAGAGCCTGCAGGATGGGGGGCTGGCAGGGAGACCTTGTCTGGGGACTCCTCTTGAAATGGTTTCAATAAACTGGAATGGGGATACAGGGGGTTGGGCTCACTGCTGCAAATTTGTGAGGCTTCAGCAGGGCTGAGTATCTGAGCAGACTACTTGTATGCTCTGACAAGTAACAAGTAGGATCAACTTCAATAGGACAAGGTCAAGTGCTGGAGGATGAGGAATTTCTCCTCTGGACTGGGAATAAGAGAGGGGAAGAAAGTGCTATGTGAATTAGCCAGTTAATGATAATTATCTGTGTGACATGTCTTTAAAAAGGGGGAAAAAAAAGTGCAGGATATATTAGTGAAGGCATTTCCAGCAAATGGAAGGAATTTTCAGCATCATGGGTATCACGATGGGTATCATTATACAGAGGACTAGTGAGCCCTTCACTGGCTTTCTGCAGCTCCCTAGGATTCATTACTGCTGGGAAGGAACAGAGGAAAAGTATTAAAATTGGGTCTGGTGCATTCTGCTTTGTGTGTGCAAACATGTATGTGTGCATGTGTGTGCTAAGTGGAAATGAAAGCAGGAACTAGGTAAGGGCAATCATTTATTTTACAACAGAATATAAGCAATGCTTTTAGAAGGGGAAATTTTATTTTAAAATGAAATAAAGCAAAGAATAAATTGTTAAAATTTAAAAATAGCGACAGATTAGCACTTGGACAGATAGATTTATCTCAGAACACAGCTGTTGTTCGAGTTTAACACAAGCCTTGTGACTTTGTTGTACAGAAAGGGCCATAGCATGAACCCCCATGTGGCTGAGCCAGCCATCAAAGCACTTCTGACCCTGAGAACCCGCCCTGGGGGGCAGCTGAGATGTGCCATCGGTCCCAGGGTCCCCAAACTGCGGTACCTGTGCTTCTGTGGTACGCAAACTATTCCCAAATAGTATGGAGAAAACAAACAAACAGACAAACAAAAAACATTCCAAACCTGCAAAAATCCACCATCAAAGCCTGCCCCATCTGTCTTTTGTCTGGAAGTGACAAGATGAGCCAGCTAGATCCCTGCTGTACACAGAACGAGGAGGTCAAAGCTGGGGGACAAGAGGAAGGGATTGGGGAAGGGATTTAAGAAGCCTGTGCTGGTGCCACCAGTGCACTTCTCCCTCTAAACAGAGCCTAGGAACTCCTCTTTTAGGCGACCTGCTGGCTGGTTTCCTAGGGTGGTAAACCAGATTGCATTTCTTCCTCAGAGGAGCAGGGTTGGGTGCCAGCAGAAACTCAGATGTAGCGAAGCAAGGAACAAGAACAAGCACTGATGCTGGTGCTACCCTGCAGGGCAGCAGCTCCTGATTCCCATCAGGTCTGGAGTCAGGAGGTGCTGAGAGCAGGGAGCTGCTCCCCTGGGAGATGCTCCGGGCTGCTCTGACTCCTGAAGCAGGGAGCACGCGCTGTTCATAAACCTGCTGCTGTCCTGCACAGCAGGGCTGCCAGATGCTGCTCCCCCCGGAGCAAAAAGCAGCCAGCTGTGTGAGCTGAAGGAATCACATTGGGCTCTGTTATTCCAACAGATACAACCAGGCATCTTCCAGCAAAGCCCTAGCTGGGGCTTGCTTGAAAGTGTTAAAGCTTAAGATATGCTCTGTGGGGAACAAAATCAAACCAACTGGAAGTAATGTTGAAGTAATTTCAAAGAGGCACGTAGGGATGTTCTTGTCTTTAAAAATAAAAATAAAATCATGAAACAGACATACAAAACCCCCAAGGTCTACAAGTCCTGGAAATAATGCAGAGATGAGATAAAAAGTCTGTATGGTTCACAGTCGAGTGAGTGTATGGTCCACATAATTACTTATCCATCCATACCTGGAGGATTATTAGAAAAGCTACACTTGCTGGCAATCAGAAGTCATCTCCATCAGCCATGCTCTGTGCTCTGAGGCCTGTGCAGCCCAGCTCCGAGTGGACGCCAGGGTTTGCCTTCAGGGACAGGCACAAAAGGGAGCAGGACTGAACAGGCTGCACGCAGCCCTGCCGATGGAGGAGCCGGTCTCATCCCACTCAGCACAGCCAGGCCTGAAGCTGACCTCAGGAGTAACTTAAAGAGTTGAATCTTAAATCCTCACAACCTAGAGGTATGGGATAAGAAGGTCCCCTTGGTGTTCTGTTGTTCTCAGGGTGGCACAGGGGAAAATATGGTGGGTTTGGAGCTACATTACCTGCCTTTTACGCAGACTGAAAACCATGGCTTTATTTTTATTGCTATTAATACACTATTGGAGGAAAAAGGAACGTGCGTATGCTCTCGAAAACGTTGGTTGGGACTGCTCTTCCTGCTTGAATACTGCTGTTAATATTTGATAGCAGCTGCCTGAAAACAGAAGCCTTTGAACCGTTTATTGTCCTTGGGAGGTGGCAGCGTTTTTTTGTTTGTTTTTTGGTTTGTTCCGTATTTAAACTGAGCCTAGCTGCAAGTTTCTTGGGCACGGCATAAACGATTAGAGCTCTGTTCAAAAGTGTTGTTGGTTTGAAGTATTCTTTTCGGATGTTACCATTTGTACTTTCAAACAAAACCCCTACTGATGAGGCGCAGCTCTGTGTGCTCGCATGGCTCCAAGGAGTGGTTGTGCGGTTACTCCACAGTGAGGATTAGTTACACATTAACCACAGCTGTAAAAACATGTCTATGGGAAAATTACATCCAAACACTGAGGGCCTTTGAGTCGGCTGCTTATTACTGAAGAGGTGGGTTTCTGTATCGTTTTTCTTCAGCATTGTGCAACATGCATCTGAGTTGTTTACTTTGCTATCGCGATGCATCCATCATAAGTTTTTCCTCTGGAGGTCTTCTACTTCAACCCCTTCCACAGACCATGGTCTACTGAGGTCTTACAGGTGGAGCTGAGTCAGAC